GGTGGTGGTGTAGTTGTTCAACTTTTAGATCTAAGGCACCGAAATGGATATGTAGAGCAAGAAGACGATTGTAAGGAAGAAGATAAAGGGGGGAAAGAAACAAACCTGAGTTACCAGTGATGTAGCGGTGGCGACGACGAAGGTAGTGGTTGGAAGAATTTCAGATCGTTGAAGCAGTATGGGTACGTGATAGCAGAGAAGGTGAAGTCATCTAGGGTTTATGGTGATTTCATTTTACAGAAGATAAGTGATGGCAGCGTCGTGATGGATTTTAGGGTTTTTTAGAGATAGATGGTAATGTTGAATGGTTGAAGGCAACACCATCTTAACCGAACTGACCTTATAGATTATATCTCCTATTGACCGATTCAATCGGACGAATGTGAGACACTGTTTTGAAAACCGGACCGGACTGGCCTGTTCGACAGGTTCAACCGGGAACCGGCCAGGTTATCGGTTTTATAGACACCGAAAACCGCTCGTAGTCCAAACTGTTTAAAACCGGCGGTTTTCAGTGAACCGCGGTCAAACCGTTCCGGTTTAACCGGACAGAAAACCGGTTTTATAATTTTTAACTCCGGGCCAGCCCATTTAAAGGCAACCCAAACGATTAGGTAATGCTCATATGTTTGACATATCATTATATAGAGTATTAAGGTGGCTAAAGCTTCTTGTCCCAGCCGATGTGGGATTCCTCCAAGCTTAGACTTGAAAGGATATGAGCATTACCCTCCCTTTTGTAGAAGATGAAATCGATATAAGTTTTATCAAGTCAATGATGTGGGACAGTAAGAATTGCTGGCAAAATAATATAATACTTGTCAAAGACAAGTTTCGAACTTTGAATAATGGAAATAAAATGCTAATCAACTTAACATCTTTGCATGAAGCTACTTGAGATACATGACGCATAAATTTATTTATAATACTTCATATAAGAATCAACAATATATCCACATGTTTACACTATTAGTTCTTTTTTATCTTATATATATATATATATATATATATATATATATATATATATATATATATATATATATATATATAGCCGGTTCTACCGGTTTTTAGAGCCGGTTCGACCGGTCGAACCAGTTGAACCATCGAACCGGTAAGACGGCCGGTTCGGAGTCCGGTCCGGTTTTCAAAACATTGATGTGAGGAATATACCAATTCAATTTGACGGATTCATGTTTTAGAAGAGTAGATATAAATCGTTATATTGACTTTTTGAACAAATAAGATTTCAATGCATAAAGTTATTGTAAATTCTGCTTTAAGGGTTATACCTCTTAAAATTCAGCAAAACATGCTAAATGCTTTTTAAGGTATATATATAACCTGTTTGGAGAGCTGGGCATTAATGGTTATATGATCAAATTAGGTTATTATTCTATTTCTATAGGACTTCCTGTAAAAATTCAAGATATTTATCTCTGCTAATTGGAGTGACTCATGGTATATGTAGATAGTTTAATATGTGACAAAACTGAGCCCTTGTCTTGATGTGGAGTTATTACAATAATGTAATCCTCTATTTATGTTTTTCTTAGACCGGAGGGTATGGGTGGGAAGTTTCCCTCACTTTTTGTGGGCCACACCACCATTTCCCTCACTTTCCTTTCTCTCACCTAAACCCACGGAATGGGTGGGAAGCTTCCCTCACTCCCGCACAGTACGCTCTGACATCCTAAAATACTCGTCCCATCTGTCTGCGTCCATACCGTATGCTAACTGACGAATTGCAGTCGTGTATTTTTGAATGGAGAGAAACCTTTTATCCGCCTCGCATCCATTTTCCATTGGAAATATGGAAAGCAGCCTTCCAAATCGCCAACAATACGTAATAATAGTTCCTTCCTCATCCGGAACCGACGTCGAAACTTTACACTGTAGATGGCGCCATCTGCAAAGTAATCTTCTATAAGACGATCGTGTCTGGCTTCGTGATTTCTACGCAACCGCGACTTTCTTGGTTTAGATCGTGCACGTGATGTTTCGCCTAGTCGGTTTTGAAAGTATGCAACAGTTTTCGTCATGACGGAACCGATAAACTTAGCCTCCTCTAGAGCCGTCGAATCGGATGATGAATATGATGACAGTTTGATTAATATTTTTTGGAGAGAATTATAAGGTATTGGTTAAAAAAATAGTTGGATGTTGTGTTATTTATAGTGTAATAAAAGGAATATATATATATATATATATATATATATATATATATATTAATGGCTGTATAGCCGTTTGAATAAAAAAAAGAAAAAAAAAAGAAAAAATAATTAACGGACCAATAGAACGAGGAGTGAGAACGCGGCATCCCCACCCCCACCCTGTTATCTTTTAGATTGAGAGACAAAGAAAGACAAACATTCATATGAATTCAGTTTTTCATAAACTTGAATAAAGAACCGTTTACACACACACACACACACATATATATATATATATATATATATATATATACAAGATACCTGTGTATAAAAACAATCTAACTGACTAACTTATGTACACAATGACCATACTGTCCTTTATTGTTAAATTACCGAGAATACCCTTCAGGTAAGTTGACACCCCCCTCAAGCTGGAGGATACGGAAGTAAACCAAGCTTGGAAACTGCATTGCGATGTTGAGACCCATTTAAAGCTTTGGTAAATACATCCGCAAGTTGATCATGAGTAGTGACATGTGACAAACAAATGAGTCCAGACTGAAGTTTCTCTCATACAAAATGACAATCTAGCTCGATGTGTTTAGTTCTCTCGTGGAAAACTGGATTGGTAGCTATGTATATCGCAACTTGATTATCACATTTTAAAGGTATAGGAATAATGTTCGGTACAGGAAATTCGGTAAACAAATGACTTATCCATGCTAATTGGGCACAAATGCGTCTCATTGACCTGTATTCGGCTTCTGCTGATGATAAGGAGACGGTTATCTGCTTCTTGGACTTCCAAGAGATTGGAGAACCACCAAACATTACATAATACTGTCACACCCCGGCCGTCGGCGGAAACACCGGGCAGTGTAACGTCATTTCTCGTATCATAGTTATCAACTTCCTGAAAACACATGCATTTAAAAAATACGTCAACATAAAGTTGGTGAGTCCACAGGTTTTGACTCCATATAAAAATAATACATTTTCCAAGTTCAAAAGTATAGTTTTGAAAGTATCATTTTAACTCTCCAACGTTTAGTATATATATCCTAGATATAAAAGTTTACTTACCAAATAAGTAGTTTACCTATAAGTCTCATATACTATGATTATAAGTGTTTGTAATTCCATACAAACGAAAGTTGCTACGTATAAATCTATTTCAATTCTATACGAGTAAAACCGCTATGTATAAATCTATTTCAATTCTATACGAGTAAGTAGAATAGGTATAGTGGTCTACTTAATATACAAATAACATACCTACTAGATTCTTATACTTAGAGTATAAGTCTTTGGGAAACTTATACTTACCATTCATACTTGTATATCAACAAAGTATAATGCTTCTAAAATTATGCTACCATGAGTCTATAGCTGCGACTGTATGACTTAGTTTTATACCTCTTATTATTAGTACAAGGATCACACCTTGCGGTAGTACAAGGATCACATCTTGCGGTAGTACAAGGAATACATCTTGCGGTAGTACAAGGATTTCACCTTGCGGTAGTACAAGGATCACACCTTGCGGTAGTACAAGGATTTAACCTTGCGGTAGTACAAGGATTACACATTACGGTAGTACAAGGATCACACCTTGCGGTAGTACAACAACTATAATTAGAATTAAAACCAGGTTTTATCTTGACATAAAACCAATAACAACAACATATAACATACCTGGTTTTATCTTGACATAAAACCAACAATAACAACATACTTATCAATTAACATATAGAACTTCCGAGTATAACTCTGGAACTATATCGCACACAACACATATATATAGAATCCTAAGTATAACTCAAGATCTACATTAGTATACTACTATAACAATAACATGCTAACAACTTTACGATAGTTGTATACTTTCAGATACGAAATAACTATATCCCGGTTATTATAACTATCTACGTTGATACTAATATATTTTCATATAGATATAATAATAACGTATATATAATATTTAGCATGCGTTTTCCCCCGAAATATTAGAAAGTGGGGCCGTGAAACTCACCTTAATAGCGTGATTTTATGTAGTCTAAGCAGAAACGGTCAGCGTACGAGGTCGTCGGGGCTCGGGATGCAAGAGGGCTTCAGCAAAGGAGAGAGGAGAAAGAAGTTCAGGTGTAAGAATGGTTGGGGTCGATCTTGCTATTTATAGTAAGATTTTTGGCCCTCACGACGTGAAAAACTCATTGTTCACGTCGTGAGTTTGGATCTTATCTCTTCGTAGACTTGCCATCCGTCTTCTAGCTTCCGAAGGTGGCAAAATGAGCCCTCACGACGTGAAAAACGCCTTGTTCACGTCGTGAGTTTGGATCTTATCCCCTCGTAGCCTCGTCACACCTTCTAGATCCGAAATATGGCGGTTTGACTCCTCACGTCGTGAGTTTTTATGCTCACGTCGTGAGTTCAGTCAAATTAGGGTTTCTGACAGCGACATCTTCGGAAAGCCATAACTTTTGCATACGAACTCCGTTTTTGACGTTCTTTATATGCACGCGTAGGTAATTCCGACTACTACAACTCTCTTTTAGAATTTTTAATAGCTAATTCTAAGTCTATTTTAAATTCCTCTTATTATAGAGATTTATAGTGTTCGGTTTATCATAACTTCTTCACGCGAAGTCAGATTCAGACGTTCTCTACATTTTTGGAATCGTATGGACGTATACTTTTAGTTGTATCATAAAATATGTATGAAAGTTCATATTTATATTAGAATTATCATGAAATACATAGTGAGTTTACTACATTACTAGTTTTAACAAGATCACATTACATGATTCGTATAATCACATGTGATTGTTATTGACCTATTTTTGATGGGTGTTACAAATACCCACTGACTGAACGACGGGTTACAGGGCATGCAACCCAATCTGAATCACAATATGCTTCAAGATGATACGTAGGTTTATCGTTGAAGTAAACTCCTTGAGAAATGGTCCCTTTAAGATATTTTAAGACATGAAGGGCTGCATCATAATGAGTTTGGCAAGGAGTTTGGTTGAATTGACTAAGGTATTGTACGGAGAAAGAAATATCGGGTCTGGTATGTAATAAAAAATTCAGTTTACCAATTAACTGTCTATAAACCATGGGATCAGTCAAAGGATTATCAATAGAAGAAGTTAATGGTAACTTTGATGGAAGAGGAGTGGAAACACAACCGGAATCATTGAGAGAATATGTATCCATTAACTCTTTAAGATATTTGTGTTGATGTACCACTATTCCACCAACAACTTTGTTAAATTCTAACCCAAGAAAGTAGTTGATGTGTCCCAACTCTTTAATCTTGAACTGTTCATGTAATTCAATCTTTAAACTGGAAATTGCAACATCATCATTTCCGGTTACAAGAATATCATCAACATAAATTACCACAATGACAATTGACTGTTGAGTTTTTTTGATGAAAAGGGAGTAATCATTTAATGATCGACAATATCCTTTAGCATGTAAAGTGGCTGATAACTTGGCGTACCATTGTCTAGAAGCTTGTTTCAGCCCATATAAGGATTTGTTGAGCTTGAAAACGTGGGATGGTGAAGAAACATGAACACCCGGTGGAACGCACATGTAAACTTCTTCATGCAAATCGCCATGAAGAAAGGCATTGTTCACGTCAAACTGATGTATATTCCAATGATTTTTGATAGCTAAAGCAACAAGACAACGAACAGTGGTGAACTTGACAACAGGTGAGAAAGTTTCATGATAATCCACCCCTTCTTTTTGGGTAAAACCTTTGGCCACAAGACGAGCTTTGTGCCTTTCAATTGTCCCATCAACACGATATTTTACTTTATATACCCATCGACAAGCTATTGGTTTTTTCCTTTTGGTAGTTTGACGATATCCCACATATTATTTTTATTTAAAGCATCAAGTTCCTTTTTCATTGCTTCTTCCCAAACTGGAATGTCTTTAGCTTCATGATAAAATGCAGATTCGTGCAACAAGCTTTGAACATTGAAAGCAAAAGTAGGAGTGTTAACAATGGATTGTTTTATTGTAGAATTAGGGACACCAATACAAAAATTGGTAACAGTATGATGACACATGAAATTAGAATCCGTGGAAAGAGTACTATTGCAAACATAGTCATTTAAATGAGAAGGAGGATTTCAAACGCGTGTGGTTCTTCTTAACGAAGAATCGGAGGAGGATCCATTAGGTATAGAGGATTGTGAAGAGGTTGGATTAATCGGATTTGGCAAATCGGAAGAAAAATGTTCCATATTTTGGGAAGAATTTGGATTTGTGGGAAGATACGATTTATGAGGTGAGGCATTTGAAGGTACTGTCATTGAATGCAATGGAAAGAGATCTTCAAAGAACTTCACATTTCGTGAGATAAAAATATTGTTTGTGACCAAATCCAACACTTTGTATGCTTTCTGACCAAAAGGATATCCAATGAATATACAAGGGTGAGATCTAGGCATAAACTTGTCTCTTCCGATTGTAGATGTTGCTGCAAAACAAAGACAGCCAAAAGCTTTCAAATGTTGTAACAGTGGCTTTTCTTTGTAGAGAAGCTCAAATGGGGTACAATCGTGAGACGTTTTAGAAGGCATGCGATTGATTAAGTGAACTGCAGTTTTCACACACTCTCCCCAATAAGAAACACCTATTCCGGATTGAAAAAAAAAGAGTTCTTGAAACCTCCAAGATATGTATGTGTTTATGCTCCACTATCCCATTCTGTTGCGGCGTATATGGAGTTGATTTATGGTGAATAAGTCCATGATTTTGGAAAAAAAATGATGCTATCATTGCTAGATCCCAGTTCCAAAGCATTGTCTGTTCTAATAACTTTGATTGTAGTTTGAAATTGCGTGTTAATGAGAGACACAAAAGCTTTAATCAAAAGTGAATGCATAACTTTTGTTATTCAACAGATGAACCCATGTATGTCTGGTATAATCATCAACAATTGTGATAAAATACTTAAAACCATCATAAGTTGGATGTTTATAAGGGCCCCACACATCAATATGAACTAAATCAAAAGTTGCTTTAGATTGAGAAGTGCGTGTAGGAAAGGGTAATCGATGATGCTTTGCTTTGGAACATACAACACAAGATTCAACAGAAATGTCACGACAATTACCGGAAATTAATGAAATATTTTGAAGTTTAGACATGGGTACATGACCTAGACGCTTGTGCCATAAAAGTGCATCAAACTTTAGATTACAAGAGAACACTTCAGAAAAACAACATGAAGCATAATTAAAAACAGGAAGATTGTAAAACAAATTGGTTTTGACATGATTGTGATCAGTCACATAGAGATTGTTGACTCTTTTGCCAAGATTTCCAAATGCAAAGTTACTCTTCAGTGAAGGGTCCTGCAACAGACAAGCTTCATCAGTGAAGATAACGAAGGTTTTGAGATGAGAGGTTAACTTGGGAATTGAAATGAGGTTGTATTTGAAATTTGGGACGTACAAGACGCCATGTAATGTAATGGAGGTATGTAATTGTACTTCACCAATATAAGAAACACATGTGTGATTGCCATTAGGCAGACCAATGAAATGAGGTTAATTGAGCTTGATCAATGAAGAGAAAAAGTCTTTGTTAGAACACATGTGGTCACTAGCACCAGAATCTAAGATCCAAGAATTGTGTTTATGAAGATAGGCAGAGGATTGATAGACATTGGCTGCAAAGTGCTGAAAAGAATAGAAATTACAATTTGGATCCATTGCAGCATCAGAAATAGAAGCATTGATTTGACTTGTGGAAGATGATGGTTGAAAGGTAGTATTGTTAAACAATTGAAGTAATTGTTGATATTGTTCTGGAGTGATGCTTGGAGAAGAAAGTGAAGTCACTTGTTGAGAACTTGATTTGGATTCTTCTTTCTTATTCTTTGTAAACTTGAAGTTGGAAGGAAATCCGTTTAAACAATAACACTGGGATTTAGTATGTCCGGATTTCTTGCAATGACTGCAGGTCAAGGATTTCTTCTGATCAGTGGAAACATGCATAGCAATTGCATCACTTGAGAGGGATGAAGGAATGTTAATATCGCGTTGGCGTTCCTCCTGGATAATCAGTGAATAAGCAGTGGACAAACTAGGAAGAGGTTTCATCATTAGAATTTGCCCGCAAATGATTTTGTATGAATCATTAAGTCCTATAAGTAATTGGATTAACCTCTGGTCTTCAAGATATTTGAGAATGCCAGCAGCAGCACCACATGAGCACGATGGAATATCTTGAACAATTCTTAATTCATCCCAAATTTTCATTAATTTGGTGAAGTATGTCGAAAAATCATCGTTACCTTGTGAAATAGAGTACAATTGTTGTTGAATTTGGTAAATCAAAGCACCATTGGATTGTTCATACCTTTGATGCAATTCAGTCCAAATAGTAGACGCAGTCTGAAGAAAAAGGACACTTTCAGCAATGTTCTTATGAAGTGAATTGAGAAGCCAACTAATGACCATTGAGTTAACTCGATCCCAAACTGGATATGTTGGTGAAGCAGAAGAAGGTTGAAAATTTGTGCCTTCAACAAACCCTAACTTCCCCGCACCGTCGGTGCGGTGTTCCCGCCTGCGGGACTCTTCCCACACCCTTCCCCGCATACGATACCGTCCGGCCTTATCTATATATGCTTTTGTATTATCAGTTTATTTGTTTCAAACTATCGAATAAAAGTTCACCAATCTATCTTTTGTTCATTTTTTCTATGTATATACATTCTCCCTGCTGGCTAGTTATCAATCATGAGATTCACCTTGATTTAAATTCACACTATGCATTTTGTTAATAATTGTGTTATTAGAGTTTGTGTACTTTTACAATCAATATAGGATGCTTGAATTACTTTTATCTTTGGGCAAATAACGGTAAAGTTTTTCTACTTTCATCATTTTATCGATTTAGACTCTACAACTTTTTTTTTAATTGTTTTAACCACTGATAATCATCCAATGACTAAATGTTTTTTGATCGTTTTAGCCACATGATCCTATTTGTTTGAAATATTTATTTAGCAGTTTATCATGAGTTTTGAAGAGTTTATATGATATATTTTGATAGATGGAATGAACATCTTCTTTCATGGATTCAGATGATGCTAGAGAAAGGATGAAGTTCAAGAGGAGCAGGGTATTATTATAAGTAGCACATTTATTCACATGCATTAGTTTTTATTTAAGATACATATAATATAGGGAAATCTTCAGAAAAGTCCTAATATTTCATCCTAATTTACGAAAAAGTCTCAAACTAAAATTGGTTTATGAAAAAGTCCCGATTATCGGAAAAAATGACGATTTGACCCTTTTTTTCCAGTTTGTCGGTTTCAATACTTACCCGGTTTCATTAAAGTCCCATTATTTTACCATAATTTTCATTAAAGTCCAATTATTTTACCATAATTTGGGACTTATTCGTAAATTATAGTAAAATAATGGGACTTTATTAAAACCCGGTAATTAATGAAACCGGTAAATCGGAAAAATATGGTCAAATAGTCGTTTTTACCGGTAATTGGGACTTTTTCGTAAACAAATTTTAGTTTGAGACTTTTTCGTAAATTATGGTAAAATATTGGGACTTTTCTGGAGATTTCCCTATAATATAATTCGTTGTCTTTAATTAATTCGCAACTATCCAGACTTTATCTAGACAAAAGATGAAAAGCGGGAGGGAATATAATGTTGTCTGGTCTGGATAAATATGATGAGTTAAAAAAAATATATTGTTATTTGAGAAAAAATTATAAATAATATGTATTATGTATGCATGTATGTCTCACATATAACTCATCGTCATTTGTTTTTTAGCAGAGGCGGCATCAGAGATGACAAGACAATACCTGATGTGCTTTCCCTTTTTGCACGAGCCAATAAATCAATGGATGAATCACACGATTGTGAAAGAAAAGAACAAAATCAAAACTCATCAAAGGAGAATATATGTCATCCACTTTAAATATTTATTTTTTCTCCAAAATATATCATACAGATTATTTTGATGATTAGATTGTTAATGTATCTTTTAAACATTTGTTGATTAACCAAGAAAAATCCTACAAATTTTTTGAAATATTCCATTGCATTTTCAGCCTGTTAATTAATTGGTAATTTTTCAAAGTTTTAATTCGCAAGAAAAATTTGTTTACATTGCATAATTGCATACCATTGCTCTTTGGATATTTGAAAAAT